GTGCTTTACGGCGCTTGCAACTGCATAAGGTCATAATATGAGCACGCGAGACGTAGTACACATTTTTAATTGGTAGAAAATTTTGAATTTTGCCCGGGTGGTGGCCGAAGTCTACTCTTATCGATTTTAGACCACCAAGGGATCTTTAAAGTGCGCAACGTGTTCACGGGACCTTCGAGATTTCTTGCCTTTGTCCAAGAAGGCTAGGTGTAGATCTTTCTAACCATAAGATCAGGGGTGTAGCTGAAAGGTAGCAGTAAGAAGGAGTCAAGGAGTAGCAGTAGAAAGGCTGCAAACAGAATCAGGAGCCGAGAGGAGGGGGCAAAGGAGGTTAAGAAGGGGGGGGGAGAAAGTAGAGACGAAAGCAGACGACAGAACGTTGGTAGAGAGAAGGAAAGGATGTGAAAGGAGACATTTTTAGAGAGAGAAGAACAATTTCCGTCGCTCTCCGGACTCGAACCGGGGACCTGTTGAATGAGAGGCAAACACCTTAACCTCTAGGCCACGAGAGCCTCCTCAAAACATGCAAAACAAAAAGGGAAAATCAAAGAACCAAATTCTTCTAAAACTCTACATTGTTATACTCCGAGGATAATGTTCACAGATATTCGATATCGCCGTCTAAGCTGACCAGGTATCACATCAAGATAACTTTTACCAAAGGTCATTAACAATAACAATCGGCTAATCTCGCCAGGCAGAACGTTATCGAACAGAGGGTAGTATCAAGGAAAGTAGTGACCAAGTCACGTCTGGGTTATAGTTGGGTCAGTTTGATGACCACAGTGTGACCACGTTTGACACGTAGGTGGCCACGACATGGTAGAGTGTGATCTGAGTGGTCTCAAGCCAATCATAACGGCCACAGCTACATTTATATAGTATCATTTTCAAGTTAAACATAATCAGGCACACGGAACGGCCTTTATCAGTTGCCAATGATTCGTTTGATTGAATAGAGAATGGGAGGGAGCCACAGCTACTTTTCTTTGCTCTATTATAATATTGGACAGAGCCTCAGGACTAAGTCAGTGCTCATACGCGACGTCTAATGAAGTATTCAGACTAAACACAACCCCTTGACTCGTCAAATTTTAAGATAGGACCCAGCCCCAAGCCTCACACAGTGCTAATAATATGACATAGCACCTAGCCTAAAACAGTATAATTATGACACAGCCCCTAGCCTCAGACAGTATAATTATGACACAGCCCCTAGTCTCAGTGAAGTACTCAGTTTCAGTTCAGTTTGGTAGGAATTTTACAGCACTCACAGCTACATAAGCCATTTGAGCGCGCAATGAAATCTTCAAGAATTGATAGAAAAGACACGGAAATTAAAAGTATTAAAGAGGCAGAAGAATGTTCTAAACTCAATAAATATAGAGGAGGAGGAAGAACATTAGACAGGTGAAAGAGAGGTAGAGTCTGACCATAGCAAGATTCTTTGGGAAGTGGAGAAAAAACTTGAAAAATGGAAAAGAAGAACTCAAAACTCTTTTCCGCTCTTGATGAACAGAAAGACACAAATAGAATGTATTCAGTTGTTACGGTCCTTCACTCTTAGAAACTCTTGTTTTTCTGTTCCTTGGTGGTTTGTAACTACTGTTTGGGGTGGGGGTAGGGATGGGGGCTCAACATTGCACGTAAATACGTCAATAATAACTATGCAAAAGGCAAAGAAAAAATAAATAGCATGACTGGATTAGTCACAAATTATAGCAGAAGACAACATTTTTTATTAACTAACAATAAAACGGAAAGAAGTAAACAATTTGAAAAATTGTTCAAAAAGGTAGATATGATGGTTCAAAAAATGCAAGATATTAAGGTGTGTTTTTATTCATTTCTTTATTTCTTTTAGATTGCATAAAATGTTCGCTTATGGCTAATTGTTCACAACCGTGCTTCCTTCATAGTCCCACTCTGCAAGAAATAAAGCATTATTAGTACCCGCAGGGAAGGACATGAACTTTACCCTTCCTCAAAACAAAAAAACAAAAACAAGAAATAACTAAACTAAAAACATAAAAAACAACCCCTCCCCCCAAGATTTCAATAGATATATTAATAAATAAATGAGTAAATAAATATATAAGCAAATGAATGAATTAATAAATGAATGACGCTTTAATTAATAAACAAACAAACAAATAAACAATTAAACAAAAAGAGATTAATTAAATTAATTTGCATAATAATCAATTAATTGATTTGATTAATCAATTAATAAAAATCATGTTAACCAACTTGCTTTTGACGAGTGGTTCCTGAACAATCCAGTTTTTTTTAAATCAGTTAATTTATAATGGATATTTTTCAATGCTACACTCAAACAATTATAATAATATATAATATCATCGTTCTCTGCATCTTGATACATCTAACTGGCCAGCTCCGCTTGTTATCCCTCATGTCATAGAAATAAATTTGTTGCCTTTTAAATTATTTTAATATGTTATAATTTCAATTTCGCCCCGACACTTAGTTAAATAAAATACCGTTAAGCTTACTTCACACATTTAACACACCTGCCTTCAAAGCCAGGGCGGTTTCACTGTTTCAATGCGACCGACTGCACCCTGCACCAGTATTTAACAGTATGGCGTGGAGATAACCCCCAACATTTTCCCGCTCAAACAACCGTACATTCTGGGACTCACGCTCCAGTTTTCATTGAGCGATCGTTTCATAACGATTAAAGTTTGACACAAGCAGTTGTCACAAACTTTACATTTTATTTTTGTCCAGTGTGACAGCACTGATTCAAGGTGTAAAATATGTAACATGGTGAAAATAACCATGAACTGTTATATAAGTAAAGACGTAACAGCAATAGAAAGGAGAGAGAGGTCCAGATTTGCTAAATCTGAGAGATGAAAACAACATAAACGTAAGGTCCAGATTTCCTATATTTAGCTTTCTGTCTGCCAAACCAAACCTACGAATGACATGTACCTATTCAGGGCGTTTATGATAAGGTTTCGGGGCCCTGAGTTGTGAAAACACGTCTTGAACTTAACCCTCTCAAGCGTGACATGACGGTTAAGAAACATTAACTTTTAAGTTGCGGTATTCATTTTGTTTACTGTGTTTCTGTTTTGCTTTTGTTTTGTTTTTGTTTTGTTTTTTATCAACATGGCGACAACCATGACATGACCGCATCATAATATCGTCTGCATGTATTTGGTGGTACCTTTTAAACAATTCTAGAGAAGTTAACTCTATGACTAATTCTTATTTCTTGAAGATGTTTTCCTTATTATCGCCAGCATGGTCAAATCTAGTAATATTGAAGGCAGCATCCTCCTCGCTCCTTCCAACCGTGATCCTGATGATGTTACCTGTATGCTGCACACAATTTTGATTATACATTGTAATATAGCCTCGGAAACTCCGCGTCATAACAAATATACCTAACTGCCTACAGTTCCTAGTACATGTCTTAGGTACATTCATTGCACAATATTTTCTCTAATTGACGGTCAGTTTATAAATACTGGCAAAGCAAAATTAATGACGAAAAAGAAGCATTAACCGACTTGTTAGCTTGTTTAAATGATGGGAGCAACTTTAGAGAAATACTGCTTGTAACAAAGAGAACAAAGATTTTTTTTAATGAAAAGAAAGTAATAGCGAGAAATTTGACAGAAAGTGAACGCAAGGGAATGTTTCCGTGTAAAGAAAACGATACACAAGACAATATCTAGCAAACAAAAGCATTAAGTCCTATTTGTTATCTTCTAATAACTTCTTAAAAAGCTTTGAAGATTAAAAATCAAGTTTAAACGTTTAAATATCTCGGAAATATTGTTACGTCTGATGTCTAATGCGCCAAAGAAAAAACAACCCCCAAAAAACCAACAACGACAAAAACAGTTTTAATACCTAAAGATAGTAACAATAAAATGAGCTCAACCCAAAGCAACAAGAGGATTTTCATAAAAGGCAATGTAGTCTTCTATACAGCTATGAATGTTGACCATTTGCTAAAGAAATTGATAATAAACTAGAGACTACAGAAAATTTAATGGGTTCATCAGGACACATAAGAATTCCACGTAAAGAATTAATGATTTAGCTTGATATCAGTACAAGGCTAATGAATGCAGTGCGGAGTGCCATTAAAAGGACAAAAATTTGGATAATGGATATCGAGTTCAATAACAGAGTTCGATTTTTTATTTTTTTTTAAACTTAGTTGGGAAATAAAAGAAAAAGCAACAGAGACATATTCTTACAGATCGATTATTGCTAGACTCTAGGTATCATGCTAGCTTACCCAAAATCATTCATTTGAGTCATTTATTTATTCATTTATCTGTTGAAATCTTCTCAGGAAACAAATTGTTCAAGCATCACTATTCTAATGTGTGTATTTGTGTGTGTGTGTGTGTGTGTGTGTGTGTGTGTGTGTGTGTGTGTGTGTGTGCGTGTATGTGTGTGTGTGTGTGTATGCGTATATTTGCATGTGTTTGTCTGTGTGCGTGCACGTGTATGTATGTGTGTGTATGTGAGTGTTTGTGTATGTGTGTGTTTGTGTATGTATATGTGTATGTATGACTGTGTGTGTGCGTATAACATTATTTGAATGTGTTTGTGTGTGTGTGTGTGTGTGTGTGTGTGTGTGTCGTGTCGTGTGTGTGTGTGTGTGTGTGTGTGTGTGTGTGTGTGTGTGTGTGCGTGCGTGCGCGGGCGTATGTTTGTATGTATGTATGTATGTATGTATGTATGTATGTATGTATGTATGTATGTATGTATGTATGTATGTATGTATGTATGTATGTATGTATGTATGTATGTAATATGATGTATGTGTGTGGGTGTGTAAGTATATGCGCCACGACCCTCTCAAAGCACCACAGAGTGAAGTCTCACGTGCCCCTGCCCTACATCAAGCGAAAGTTTCAAACAACCTACATGTATGGTCTAACGGTGAAAAATGAGGCCATGAGAGACCATGCAAGACCTTTCACAGACGATATTACAAACGTGACCTGACCCCGGCGTACTAAGGCACACTTCTGACTCTCTCAATGGTGTATCATTGACATAGGGCTGTGCTTCCTGGATGAGACCAAAAGGTCAGGACGAATAAGGTGTAACTTGATTTTCTGTATGTATGTATGTCTGTCTGTATATCTGTCTGTCTGTCCGTCTGTTTATCTATTTCTCTTTTACTCTATGTCTCTCTCGGTCGCTCTCTTCCAATTCCTCCCCCCTCTCTCTCTCTCTCTCTCTCTCTCTCTCTCTCTCTCTCTCTCTCTCTTTCTCTCTCTCTCTCTCGCTCTCTTTCTGTCTTTTCCTCTGACTCTATGTTTATCCTTCTCTCCAACATACACATGTGTACATACGCGGGTACAAAATTATATGCTCGCACAAGCATACAAAAACACACATAGATCTAGACATTCTCTCCCTCCCGCCTTGCTTTTCATTCCTTTCCTTATCTTCCCTTCGGTAGGTTCTTCTGCTGTTGAATTCATATTATTAGGATGCTGAAAATAAACCCATTTAACAGGTCTGTTGCCATATTTGAACCGCCTAGATACATTTCGACTACTGAAAGAAGAAAGGGGAACATAAAAAAATCAGATCTCCAAGATTTAAAGAGCCAGTGCTGAAATACTACTGTTGGAACGAAAACAGAAGCGAACAAACAACAGTGGTGAGAAAAAGTCCACGGTCATTAGTGAGGTGTTGAAAGGGATTAAAGGGAACGTGGGGAAAAAAGTCGTGGCAACACTTAATACATAAAGACAACACAAGCAATGGACCACAACAGCCCTAATAGGCCAGGATACGTGCCAGCAGAAAAGGGTGGTGGGTTAAAGAGGGGGGAAATGTTTACAGTTTACATAAAGGAAAAACCCAAAACAAAACAAAGAACATCACTCAACATTTACAACTTCTTTTCCTACTACTACTACTACTACTACTACTACTACTACTACTACTACTACTACTACTACTACTACTACTACTACTACTACTACTACTACTACTACTTCTACTACTACTACTACTACTACTACTACTACTACTACTACTACTACTACTACTACTACTACTACTACTACTACTTCTACTACTACTACTACTTCTACTACTACTACTACTACTACTACTACTACTACTACTACTACTACTACTACTACTACTACTACTACTCACTACTCTACTACTCACTACTCTACTACTGCTACAACAACTACTACTACAACTACTACTTCAGTAATACTACTACTACTAGACCTACTGCTACTACTACTAATTTTAAAAATCAGTATTAATAATAATAATAATAATAATAATAATAATAATAATAATAATAATAATTGCATGTATGCAATTCAAAACCACGCTCTACAGCATGCTCTACCCTTTACAGTTTTATTATCCCAGTAAACCCTAGAGCTCGACTCAGAAACATTAATCTCTGCTGCGGATTACACGCTCTAAAACGCTGCAAACAGACAAGATCTCCAGCTGTCTAAAGACAGAAGCCTACTTCCAGCTTGGTGAAGTGAGGAAAATTCGTGTGAAGTGGCCTTTCCAATGACACAAAGTCGGGCCCCAGACGGGATTCGAACCCACGTCCTTGCGGCTGAGAATATGAGAGCCTAACCCGTAGACCACTCATTTCGACGAATAAGTATACTGATGTTGCTACAGTTATCGTTTCTACAGCCAGAGGTATCAAATCAAGGGTTACATCCACGAGGTGAGGCTTATCTAATCACTTGACAACTTATCATTACACTTAACGAAAATGTGTGAGACTACCTCTATGTCTAACGGAGTATTGCAGTTTCATCGACAAGAAACATACGAGTGCTTCCAGCTTGTATAAGTTAAATTGAATCCTTAGTCTAAAGTTCAGATGTCATTTTAAATAGGTGCAGTCACCAATCAGGACAATTTTCAAACGCGAGAGCTTACACTCGTAAAAACCACTGACGTAGTTTGAACTAATTAATCGACTGATTATTGTGGATTTCAAAAAAAAAGTTTTAGGCCTACTCTTTTTTTTAAATTGCTCAATAAACCAGTAGAAAAATTAATAAATCTGGACCATATATTGTCTGTGAAACCCTTTTTTAAAAAATATACCACTTGACTCCTGGTTTGAGGGGGGTTCTGTAATACTGAGTTGTTATCAGTAATACTGAGTTGGTATCATCTCTGTGTTACTGTAATAGAGCAGTCCAGCACTGCATTCTCTCCTTCGCCTCTAATTTACCCCCCCCCCCCCTATTCCCCCATAGCTCCTCATTCCCATCCCCACGGCTCTCCTCCCTCTCCCGTAAACATTAATTTGAACTCATAAAAGATTACTTCTCCTCGTGTCGTTTTTACAAACATAGGCTAGAGTAATCGATGATGAAAACAAGAAACCTACGATTACTCCTGGACTAGGACATGCAGCAATTGTAACTCTCCATCATTTATTCTTTCGTTACAGTTTTTGCACTCCAGTGTTTCGAGTAGCGTTTATTTTGAAGATACAAAAATGAAAACAGGCTCTAGAAACCACCCTTAAAACTTACCTCAGACTCTGGAGAACACACGAGGAGATCCCACTCAGGTCAGTCAATCAAACTGTTCATAGGCTACTCCTGTGCCTAAATCCTGTGCCGATATGTAAACCAGTTGCCCTACTCTAACGAATTTCGCTCCTTAAATCAGACGGGCATATCTTTGTGTCAGCACCCGTGTACGTTCAGAGGCGGTGTGATGTGTTACACAATTATTTGACTTTCCCAATCGCAAATCGTACACGGCAACTCCATCGGGCCGTAACATATAACTGCTGTGCAGGTTGGGTTTTTGTTTTTTTCTTCCGTGCGTTCTTTTTTTTCTCTCTCGTTATTCCCCGCTTCGTTTTTCGGCCAGTGCGGCGTCATTCATATTTTGTTCAAAAGCAGAAGCATCGCTTAACGACTTGAATATACAAATATCTTTAGAATTTGCAAGAATCGCGAATTCCAGTCACATGCGAAAAAAACAAAAACAGTAGGCTACCGGTACACATAACTTTATTTCGTTCCTCAGGGCCTCATGGCACTTAATAGCGTACACAAAGACACGGGCACTGGCGCACAGACACACACGCACGTAGCATACAAAGACAAACAGAGAGAGAGAGAGA